ATATCTAAAATAAATAAAAGAAAGAAAAAGAACCTATATATGCAACTACCACATAATCCTGCGATTGTACTCTTGGTCATTCATCCCACAGAAATGAAACCTTAGGTTCATTAAAAAACAAAACAAAACAAAAAACAAAAACTGTACATGAGTCCTCGTAATGGTTTAATTCTAATAGTCAAAACTAGAAATAACCCAGATAGTCTTCCCATGGGTGAATGGTTAGTCCATTCACTATGGTACATTCATACCATGGAACACTACTAGCAATAAAATGGCATACACTCTCGATATAATCAGCCACCTAGATGAAATGCCAGAAAATTATGCCTAGTGAAAAACAGCCAATCCTCAAAGCTTACCTACTGTATAATTCCATTTCTGTGACATTATTGCAGTGACAGAATTCTAGAAATGGGAAATAGGTTAGTGATTGGCGAGGGTGAAGAATGCAGAAGGGAGGTATGGGAGGGTGGGAGGTATGACTCTAAAAGAAACAAATAGTATCCTTGTGAGGTTGGAAATGCTCCATATCTTGATTTTATCAATGTCAGTATCCCCATTGTGATATTGTGCCATCATTTTGCAGATGTTCCCATTGGGGGAAAATGGGTGAAGAGTATGAAGATATCTCAGTATTACTTCTTACAATCGCATGCAAAGCTACAATGAACCTAACACTTAAAGGCTTAATTAAAAATAAAAAACAACCTCTAAAGTTGGCCTCTGGAGGTACTTGCCAGTTTAAACTCAGTGGAAGAACTAGAATACTCTAAGATATAACATTGGCCCTTAAACTGTCTGTAGAATTCAGCTTGAGAGAAAATGCTAGGGAGATTGCACATTTGCTAAGCTGGAGCCATCTATGTCCACGAGATGGGGAGGGTCAAGTCAGAGGCATCTCTCAGGGTAAGGGGGTGTTTTGCTAGAGAGTTCAGCTCATAGGATAACTTCAAAACTCCAGGCAGGATCATCTGACTTTGGAAAAGGGATTTTAATGGGCAGTTTTATGTGGCAGCTCGGCAAGGCTACAGTCCCCACTTACTCATTTAAACACTAATAATCCAGGTGTTGCTCTGAAGGCATTTTGTAGAAATGATTAACATCATAACCAGGAGACTCTAAGTAAGGAGATTATCCTAAATAATCTGGGTGGACCTGATTGAAGCAGTTGAAAGACCTCAAGGGCAGAACTGAGGCTTCCCTGAAAAAGAAGAAAGTCTATGGGTGGGGTGTGGGCAAAATGGGTGAAGCGGACTGGGAGATACAGGCTTCCAGTTACAGAATGAATAGGTCACAGGAATAAAAGGCAGGGCATGGGAATGATAGGCAGTGAGCCTGTAGGTAACAGTGTTGAATGGCCTCAAGGAGCAGCTACAGTTATGGTGAGCACAGCGTAATACAGAGAAGTGAAATCTCTGTGTGTTGTTCACTGGAAACTAATGTAACTTTGTGTGTTAACTGTACTCAAATGAAAACATTTTTTTAAAGAAAGCAGAAATTCCACCTGTTGATGCAGTTTCAGTTCATACACATTCATGTTTATGCCTGAGATTTCCAGACTATTCTTTTTGGTGGTCTCCCCCATAGATTTTGGATTTGCCTGGCAAGCCCTAGTTGCATAACCTACTTCCATGCAATAAATATCTTAATCTATATCTTAATATATACAGTTGACCCTTGAACAACACTGGCTTGAAATGGATAGGTCCCTTTCTATGCAGTGTTTTTGTTTTTTTGTTTTTGTTTTATAAATACAGTGCAGTACTGCAAATGTATTTTTCTTCCTTACAATTTTCTTAATAATATTTTCTTTTTAGCTTATTTTATTATATAAATATTGTAACAATACATATACAAAATATATGTTAATCAACTGTTGGTGTTATCAGTAAGGCTTCTGGTCAACAGTAGAATCTTAGTAGTTAAGTTTTGGGGGGATTTCAAAGTTATATGTGAATTTTCAAGGGCACAAAGGGTCAGTGTCCCTAACCCCTGGGTTGTTCAAAGGTCAGCTGTATGTTTCAAGCAATAAATCTCTTAATATATATATAATACCAGTCTCCCTACCCTCTGGTGAGACCCTGACTGATACAAGGGTTTGCTGTGTTTAAAAACAAAAATAAAACCTCTTTTCTCATCTAGCAGATTCCAGAAATGTTTTGAAAACAACTCTGTAGACTCAAACTTTATTATGTTATAGCTTTAATTTATTTGCTAGAAGCCTATGAGTTGCAATAAAACTCCAATTCTTAACAGTCAATTAGAAAATAATAGAGTTAAGTCTAAAAGAACTCGCCCTAAATTTAGAGACCAAATGAGAGTGAGTTGTTTGATACTCAGTTTTGATGAGACATTATCAGCTAGGAGATGGAAGTTGATTTCATTGTCAAAAATATATTTCTTGGGGTGCCCGGGTGGCTCAGTCAGTTAAGTATCTGCCTTCGACAGGTCATGATCCTGGGGTCCTGGGCTAGAACCCCACACTGGGCTCCCTGCTCAGTGGGGAGCCTGCTTCTCCCTCTCCCACTGTCCTCTTGCTCTCTCTCTCTCTCTCTCTATCTCTATCTCAAATAAATAAATAAAATCTTTTAAAAAATAAATAAATTTCTTTCTCTGTCTTTTTCTCTGTGTCTGCCAGTCTTGTATTTATCAAACGTCCACTGAAACTTGGCTGTATCAGGCTAGGTGCGAGATACTGAGATTACAAACACAAGTGAGTGGAATCCTATCTTCCTTCAAAGACCTGCTTATGGTCTCTCATGGAAGAAACAAGCATAATTGACTAGTATAAAGAGTGCCTTGCCCTAAGGAAAGAGATTAGTCTCTACCATCTTTAGAGATTCGTTTTCCATTTTGGGGCAGAGTGGGGGGCATCCATGACATATCATTTGTTCATGATTTTGAGGAATCTTTGAATTATTTAAACTGCATGCCCAACAGCACACTTGACACCAGAGAACAACCTGCTAAATTCTTCTGAGTTGTTAACATTCTTTACTCATGAATTCTGCATTTCCTACTGATGACATTAGGAAACTTATTTTATTAAAGCAAAATTTCTGGAATTATTCCCTATTGCCACTTTGTCCTTTTTGGTTGTTTTTTTTTCCCCCTTGCATAGGCTGAACATGATTATCTGATTATACTTTCTCACCCAAAGTAGTGCTAAGTTCATATGTTGGATGGCAAAGTAGTAGGCTCCATGACATGCAACCTCTCTTCGGGTTCTGATTTTACCTCTATTTTAAAACTCTCTGTGCTGTCCAAAAAGAACTTTCTGTTCTTGTTATTGTATCTCTTGTAGGAGTTTAAACCAGCAGAAGAGTTATTTCTTCTTTGCCAGGTTTTTAATATCAAAGTAAAGACCCTACAGCTTTTATTAGGAATCATGACTTTAATTTACTTGTTTAGGGTCTTTTCGGAGCCGTCAAGCATGATGGTTAGGAGGATGGCTTTGGGGACAGTATGACAGGCTTATACCACATGAGCCTCAGTGTCCTTATCTGTGAAACAGGGATAATAATAAGTCTGCAAGGATTAAAGGAAGTGTCTAGCTGAGAAATACGCCCAGCGTGCAGTGAGTACTCTGTGAATCTTAGCCATGGTTTCTGTTGTCCCAGCAGCATTGTAGAAGTACCCATTTTGTTATAGCATGTGTCCTATAAGGCTAAGAAGTCATGGAATTTGTAGGAAGGGAGGCAGCTCATCGTGGCTAACAAATACCCTGACTCTGTAATCAGGGTAAATCCTAATCTTCAAAAAAGTCTCTAGAGATATATTGCACTTACCATTTTTAAAGAATTCACTTCCTCATCTGCTTTATTTACCGTACACATTTATATGACCTGCAAAGGCACATCTACCTTCCATTCCACAAAGAAGTGGTTCTTCAAGAAATGGAGGAGGATTCTCAAGCTCAAAATCTCAAATGAGGAAGACGTTGAACTAGAACTCTAGTTCTTTTGATTCTGTATTTTCCCATGACATCTCACTTATTTTGTCTAAATCAAGAATTCACGTTCTTTGAAAGTGAAGAATTTGAGTCTGATGAAAACATCCCATTTTTCAGTGACTTCCTATTTAACATGCCTCACCGAAGAGTGGAGATGCGCAGTCTATGTCTCTCAGGATCTGCTCTGGTCAGAGCTGCCTGGGATGAACTCCCTCTTCTGTACAAACATCTCAGTCATTCCGTCTTTCAAAACAAAGTTCAATGCTCATATCTTCTTGATCACCCTTGACTGCTCTTTTGTCTGTCCAACTCCCTGAACATTTATCCTGTGCTCCTTTTTATTGTTAGTTTCCTTTTTATGTGCATGCCTATTTCTTCAGTGTGACTGTTAATGTCCTTATGCAGAGGGACCCTAGCCTAGCACCGTACAGAGTTCTTTGATGATGAAGACTGGGATAATAATAGTGATAATGATTATAATACTTACTACAATATCTCCAGGTAAACTTTTTGTTGGTGTGACCTTGGCAAGCCACCATCATTTGGTCACTGATTGTTCACCTGTATTCATTCATTTGACCAATATTTTTTGAGAGTTTTCTGTATACCAGGCCCTATCTAGTTTCTAGGGTTATGAAGACAAAGAAGGTCTGAACTGAGGGACTTGCATTCTAATGGAAGAGACAGACTTAAAAACAAATATGTACATTGACATTATATATATTTCAAGTGCTATAATAGGAATATTATTAGGATGGCAAAAATGAGGGAAAGATTCCTAAGTTATTAAGAGGGCAGAGGTGGGTTCAAGAAAAACTCTAGAGAAGAGGTGGGGTTTGAAGCAAGTGCTAAAAAATGAGTAAGTGGGACAACCTTACTTATGTCTGTTGTTTTTTTTTTTTCTGCTGTTGGCAGCAAATATGTCCCAAGGCATAACAAGACCACTAGTTTAAAGTGCCTGGAGCTAAAACAGAATGGGAGATTTTGACCTTCAACAACTGGAGTAGAAGGTAATGACATGATCTAATTTAAAGATATAAATTACCTGTTATTTGGAGAAGTTGACAGTGAGATGACCCGGAATTGTGTTAAGATCATTGCGGCCTGCTTGTTCCAAAGAGGTTCCTCATCTCTGCCACTCCATGGGATTCCAAAAAGCTCATAAAGAAAAACAGAATGCTCTGCATTTGAGACTTCCACAAAAATGGTGTGGAGATATGCCTCCTTGTACAGGAGTAGGCAAAATCACAACATCACTCAAAATCTCAACATAACATATTTTATTCATAATGTGGTACCCTGTGCCAGGTACCATTACAGGAGTTGAGATTCTAGAAATGAATAAAATAGGAAAAATTATTACCCTCCTGAAGCTTATATTCTAGTGGGAGGAAATCAATAGCAAGCAAATAAATAAGTAAATTATATAGTACGTTAGGAAAAGAAAGTGTTATGGAGAAAAATAAAGTAGGGAAGGGGGGTAGAGAGTATTGGGTAGGGTGGGGTAAGCAAGTTGCAATTTTAAATAGACTCATTTGAAAAGGTCTCACTCAGAAGGGGGCAATCAAACCAAAATGTGAAAGAGATGAGGGCCCAAGCTATGTAAATGTGTGGGAGAAGAGAATTCTAGGCTGAATAAACAGTATGTGCAAATGCCCTGGGGTGGGACTATGCCTGGTCCATTAAAGAACATCAAAGAGACCGTTGTGGCAGGAATAGAATAAGTGAGGGGAAGAATATGAGGTTAGCGAGATGACTAAGGGACAGACTGTGAAGTAAGTTGGCTTTAACTCTGAGTAACATGGGGGAGACATTGGAACTTTAAAGCGTGATCTGTCTTGTTTCCGTGGAATAACCTAAGCTGCTGTATTGAATATATTCTCTCAGAGAGCAGGGGCAGGATTAGAGAGAATAGTTAGGAGATGTTTCTCAGTAATCCAGGTAAGAAATGATGTGGCTTGGTCCATGATGGTCCAGTAAGCCAGGTAAGAAATGATGTGGCTTGATAGCAGTCATATATATAATGAGAATAGGTTAGAATCTTAATTTGAAGATAAAGTCAACAGGATTTGCTGATGGATGAGATATACTGTAAGAGACAAAAAGAAAGCTAAAAGTGCTTTTGATCTGAGCTGTTTGCTGTTAACTGAGATGGGGAAGGCTACGGGAGAAGCAAGCTCCGCACTAAGTCAAGTTTTGGACATATTGTCTATGAAATATTTACTGGACATTTAAGTAGAAATGTTGAGTGGCAACTGGATATATGAAACGAGAAGTTAGGGGGAAAATCCATGCTACAGATAGAAATTTTTGAGTCATTGGCACGTAGATGATATCTAAAGTCATAAGACAGGATGTATTTAGAGGCTGTGAAGATGAGAAAGAACCAGCAAGAAGTCTAAGAAAGAGTGGCCATTAAGGTAGAAAGAAAGGTGGTAATGTGTGGTGTGCTGGAAGCCAAGTGAAAGAAGTTAACGGAAGGAGTGTATCCAATATTGTACCCAGTATTTCAGTAGATCAAGATGAATGAGAAGGGAGAATCAGTCATTGCCCTTAGCAACATGGTAATCATTGGTGACTTGATAGAACACTTATCAGTGTAGGGTGATGGGAAGAAAGCCTGACGAGACTGAATTTAAGAGGGAATGAGGACAGAGAAATTGGATATAGCAAATGTAGACAACTTTTAAATGAGTTTACTTTAAAGTGATCAGAGAAGTGGAGCTAAAGTTAAGGAATACAGTATTTTTTGTTTGTTTTGTTGTAAGGGGATAAAAATATTGTAACTGTATAACCCCATTATCCTTATTTGAAGAATAAAACTATATGCCCAGTGTAGGGACAGACCAAATTCTGGGTATCTACATCATTATCCTTCCTCTGTAAAAGACCAAATGTTCTAAGAGATTGTATTCTTTCAGAAGAATTTTTTCCCTTAATTTAACCAAAGTAGCAATCAGAATAGTTTGACTTAAAATAAACCAGATTGTAAAATCATGAGCCTCAAAGCTGACAACCAAAATCAAGATTCAACAGTAATATCCCTGGTTGATTTCACTCTTAGAAGAACACTGTCAGCTTAATGCCAACTTTAAAAACAATAATTTGGTGACCAAACCATGAAATTTTGATCATATTAAGTCTACACATTTAAGGATTATTCTTGGAAGAATCACAAAATATAGGGGTAAAAGCAACTTTGAAGAGGGTTTAATTTAATGTGCACCTTTTATTAATTGGTAACTTGAACTCCAAAGACATAGCTGAGATCACAAAGCCAGTAAAACAGGGCTGGAACTAGACCTTAGTTCTTATGGTCCCAGCAGGGGCCCAGTATTGTGTCTCGAGCTCATTTCAACCTGGGAGAATGCTCTGCCAATGCGTAAGTGGCCTGTGTATCAGTTTATATGGCAATTTTCCATGAAGAACAGACATTATAAGAAAAAGCTGCTAATTTAGCTGGTAACTGCTGAAGTCAACACGATTGATTGCTTTCTGCGCGATCAGCAGCTCAAATAAGGAATTAATGCCCAAAAGCTCTGTTTCATTCCTTGTGTGTTTCCAAGCATCATGCAGACATCTAAGAGGGATAGAATGAAGTCTGTGCTTCCTCAGGGCTTACGTCATTTCTAGAGAGGAGAGGGAGAAAGAGGGCTGACAGTTTCTAGGCTGGGCACCTTCCTGTACAGTCCCTTCTTAAATCTCAGCACAACCACGTGGGTTGGGGATGGTCATTCCCTTTTTACAGGTAAATAAAACTGGGGTTAAGCAAGGTTAATCAAGTTCCTCAAAAAGAGCTATTCCAGACAGACAGTGCCGAACGTAGGGACAGTGTTTTCTTCACACACACCCAGTGGGCAACAGGAGCCTGAGATTTTATTTACATGGTAAGGGCCTCTTTCATTTACATTTTTGAGGGACCAGAAAGAAAATGTGAGGAAAAAAAAATAACAGAACCCAAGAGAACCTTACATGTGTTTTGACCCCGTGGCTCAAAGAAGGGGTACGGTGCTGTCCTTTTATGTCTGGGTGGGGTGGGGGAGAGGAAGAGGGCATGAGAAGCCCCTGCAGTTAGTTACTCAGAGTTGCATTGTTCTGACTAATTTCTATTGTGCCACACACTGTATGAGCGTTTTTCAGCAAGCTGGTTATGAATTTTAATGTTTAGAATTTAGTGACCAGTCATGTTGTTCTATCTTTGAAAAAGTTGAATTATAATAACTTGAGGAACAATAGATTTAAATAAATGGATGTTAAATATAGTGGCAGAAAACATACATCTAGGAGTTGGAATATCTAGATTTTGGTCCTGACTCTGCTTCTTACTAGCTCTGGGACTGGTGGCAAATCACTTTGGCAGGACTCCCTGAGTCCTAGTTTGCTCATCTTTAAAAGGAACATAATGATGAGTGTTAATGGGCATAGTTCTTGAGAACAACTGAGATAATATATGTAAAAGTGCTTTATAGACTCCAGAATACCAATACAAATCTGAGTTATCGTAATTTTTATAAGTATTCTTAAATTTCTGATTGCACTATAAGGTATTTTGAACATACCAGGGTTGTCCAAGAATTTTTAGTCCTTTCTTCTGGTCCTTCTGAGAGTCTTTGCTTTTGAGGGATCTAGAATTGCAAAATCCAGTTATATCTCCTGGGCCACTTCAAAGAATCCCTGACTCTCAGAAGTTCTAGAGCCCTCGGAGGAAACAATGAATCTTGGAGTACCTTGGACTCCAACCAAATTCCCAGGTCTCTCCCATGCTGGACCTAACAGTGGACTTGGGATTCTATATGCTTTGGAAACGTGATAGTGTTTTGGGGGTGCTGTGTGCTGGTCATCAAAACTACACTGAAAATGAAAAACATGGGCCGTTCTTAATGAAAATATACTTATGCAGTTATTAATGTGTTGAGCATGGGTCACTGTACTTGATTATGTACTGCTGGCCCCTTGAAAACTTGGAATTTCCAATGTGTGAGCTAAACAACAGATGTTCCTCGGGATTAATATGAAGGACATTATCATTAGAAACATCCTCAGTGTATTGAGATCTTGCATGGAAATCTAATTCATTGGCTTATTTTGCACAGAAATTTCATTTAAAATCTACGAAAGAAAAGATAGAAGGTAAATTACTGTATTAGGAACATGAGAAGGTTTAATTAGAATTGTGGCTCACTTTTTCTTTTAAATTAAATGATTCGGTGTCTTTATTGTTTCCCACCTCATTACTGCATTCACGACTGCAGTGGATGAAAGGTAAATTGTTCTGATTTAATGGGTTGAAATTACTACAGAGGGATTTGATAGTCAGAGTTCTTCTTAGCTTCTTGTAAATGAAATAGATTTGCACTAAATATACACTGTTAACACTTTAAATAAAATACCTTTTATCAGCAGAGAGCAATTTTCATGGGACAAATTTAAGCCTGTACCTTTCTGACTTTGTGGGCAAAGGATTTGATTAAAATTGACCAGCTAAGTGTGACTGCCCTTTAGAGCAATGGAACATTCTAATGAAAAACCCATTTGCTGAGAACCGTCTGCTAGTAAGCGGTCGCTGACCGGGAGTCACCTGTGTGGTTTGGGCTGAGGAGCTGCTCTCTCTGTGTGAAGAGGAGAACAGGGAAGCAGAAATAACTTTCATGGGCCAAAGTTGGCCAAATGAGATTGTAGTCACCTTGGTCAGGAATTGCTTGGTCACAAGTAAGAGAAATCCGTTCAAATTTACTTTAATATAAATAAGGCACCAATTGCTAAGAAACAGGGTCTCTTTTGGAGGAGGGAGTGTAACAGGCCTCATGGGCGGCTGAAACCAGAGACTGGACAGCAGGTAGAAGCCCAGGCAGCCTTGTTGGCTTGTCAGCTTTTCTCCACATCAGTCCTTGGATTTGCATGGTCGCTTGTCGTTGCTTCTCTCAGCATATCTGCTTCATTTTTGTCTCTCTGGACACTGGCTTTCTCTGGTCACTTGCACATGGGCCCGATGAAGCCACCCCAGACCAAAGGTGTTGGAGCCAGTCCTGAAGTCTTTTGCAATCTGATTACTTCTCTTGGAGTTCAAGGCCTACTTAATTCACTCTGAAACTGACGGTATAGTCTGGCCTTTGGGATCCCTGGAATTCTGAGCAAGTCCCAGAACTCCAGGGAGAAGCTCTGAGGGCTGGGCCCCAACATATGGGTGTGACTTGGTTAGGAAGAATCTGGGAAAACCTGAGGTCAGCAGGTGCCCTTGGCTTCCTCCCTGGTTTCCATTTAGTGTCGTCACCCTGTTGGGGGCAGGTGCTGCCCTCATACTTCCTCCTCTGATCCCCATCTTCTCTGTCAGCAGCATCCCTTTGTGTAGCCTCATTTTTATGATCTCCATTGCCATTTGTACCTTCCCAGCTACGACCTCTCATTTATTCAGCTATGATCTGACACCACCTAGCAAACCTGGAACCCTCTGCAGTTGACAAAGAATACTTGTTTTCCGAAGGCCTTCAAGCAATGACTCAAATGAGAAGATTGCCAGATGCGAGGCAGGAGTCATTTGAGGTCAGAAGGGTCTTGATGTAAATGGTAAATCAGAGAGGTTTGGATTGAATCCCACCTCTGTTACTTTTAGTAGTGAGAACTTAGAAACTTGGTTGGCATCTCTGCTGCAGCATTTTTAATCATTTCATTTCTACTTACCCCATAGAGTTGCCATAAAGATTAAATGAGGTAAGAGATGCAAGTGTATAAGGTACCCAGGTTCGGTAGGCTTTCATTGAATGATAACCCCTCAATCTTCTCCCTTCTGCATGCCCTTCACTCACCTCTCATTACAAGAATGGTCACCTTCTTAGAGTAAGATCAACACCTTGTGGGAACCTTCAGAAATTCTACTGGCTACTCTTTCCAGATCAGGTAATTCCCCTTTCTTATGCACAGGTTGGAGATAGGCTATCACACTCTTCTGATGAGAGGTATGGTTGGTTACAACTTCCAAGACAACAAAGCGTTCCAAGACAAAGAGGCATTTCAGATCTAAAAGGTGTGTGTGGACATCATGGACCAAGGAAAACATGGGGAACACATTTCTAGTGACATCACCTTTTAACCATGGAAGCTTCTTTTTTATATAGCTCTATTAACTTACATATAACTCAGGTGTATACCCAAACGTGGCAATAATCGTGAAGATAATAATCTTATGAACAAGTGCTACATTTTTGCCACCGGTTCTATATTTACCATATCAAGTGTGTCGCGTTCTATCTCGCATAAAACCCTCAAGTCGTTATCCCATTTCACAGATAAAGAACTAAGACTCAGAGCGGTTCAGTAACCTAAGGTATGAGTGTATTAAAAGATATAGGGATTCCGACCCCCAAAACGGTGCCTTTTCGCACTTGCAACACGTTGTGCTATGCCTGTGCGGTTTCATTATCCTGGGCCCCCATCACAGCGCTCACAAAGCCACCCGGGGAAGGTCCAGGTCCCTGTGAACACTCACCCTGCTGGTTGCATGGAGAAACTGCAGCCCCACAGCTCAGATCCGGGCCCCGTCCGTCTCCTAGATGTGGAACTCTGCTACTCATTACAAACGCAGAATCTCACCTCAGACGTACTGAATAAGTACTGGCATTTAAAGAAGCGTCCCAGGTGGCTTCCGTGCATGTTCAAGTTGGAGAAACACTGATCTGGTGTGTGAACCACAGTGGATGCAGATAATTGCTTGGCTATTTTGCAGTGTGTTAATCTCCTTTCTGCATTCGCTACAATGTTTGATCCCTGTCAGCAATCTCTGTGGTGGAGCTTTTCACCTTCCTCTCCTTTCCTAGCTTTATTCAATAGCAGTTTCCGCACTGACTGAGAGGATTTGGGAACCAGGACAGAATTTAGTTTCGGGGGGACTCCTTCGCCCAATCCCAAATGGAAGGCACTGCTCAGGTCCTCCACCACAGAGCTCAGGCCCGCTGACTGGGGAAGCATTTGCAGCTCAGAAGCATAAGGGATGTTTTTCCTCATTTGCTGGATTTGAGCCTTCCTCTTTTCTGTTTTCCTTTCCACTCTGGGCTTAAATGCAACACAGTTGCATGCAGGATACCCGTCCATCTCTGAGGTGAGTGCTGAAGGTGTCAGCACTGAGCGCCCCGCTCGTGGCTTTCAAATACTTCTGTCTTATTTTTAAGAGCTAAGAGGGCCAGGGAAGGGTAATTGATTCCTTTAAGGTAGAGACAGAGGGCCACTGGGCCCTTCACTCAGGCAAAAGAGAGATTTCAAGTAATTCTTAATACGTGGCTTTTAAATTGCCTTGAGGTTGGTGAAAATAGGTCAAGCTGTCCTTGGTGCTAGTCAATCAATTAAAATAGATGATTTTTAAATCTTTTTAAAAAATTTGATGATACAGAGATGCAGCTTCCCAGGACAGGAGAGCTTCCCAGACCCCGCTCCTCTGCTCCTGTCCCCAGAGCCCTGCTTAGAAGGCCCCAGAAAGGACGCAGATGGGGAGTGAGGCCCCATGATTGCTAGCTCCAAGGCCGCTGACGGTAGAGCTCAGATGAGGGGGCTGGAAACCCTGGAAAGGGGAATTCTGTGAAATCTGACTGTTGCCTCCCACGGCTCCACAGTGGTTCTTAGGGAAGGGATATGCTCCGGGAAAGACAAGAAAGACACAGCGTGGGGAGAAGACTTGGCCATCATTCGTGTTCCAAATCATTTTTTCTTTGGTTATAAAACTAATACATGCTCATTACAGAGAATTTAGAAAATACAGAGAGGTCCACAGAGGGAAATAAAAATTGCCTGTAATCCCACTAGCCAGAATAATTATTTATATTGGGTTATAGTTCTGTTCAGATATACACATTTTCTTCTACTTCACATCTTCATGATGGTTAATATTGTTAAAAATGTGACTTGAATGACTGTGCCATATAAATGTGCCCAGTCTCACTTAGGTACAATTACTAAATGGATCATTTCAGCTATTTCTAATTTCTAGCTATTAAAAATATGTTACGAATGCTCTCTAACAAATCTTGAACCATCTGCGATTAGCTCCTTGGAATAAGCTGTTAGGAGTAGGATTATAAAGTGAAAGGTGTGATGCTTTTCAAAGTTTTTGATTCATTTTGCCTACTTGCCCCCGGGTAAGGTCGCTTCCAGTTTGCAGCTTGCTAGTTCCTACTGTAGCCTTTTCAGATAAAGTAGTTAGTATGCTTTCAGTTACAAATAATAATAACAACGACTAATTCAAAGTGACTTACACTGAAAGGAGATTTAGTGACTTGAGTAACTGGACAGTAGCTTCATTGTTTCCTCCCTCTGTTAGTTTCAACCTCAGTCTGATTTCCTTGCAGTTGTGAGATGACTGCAGGCAAAGGGCTTCTTCTTTCATACCTAGAGGAGAAGGACACTCAGTCCCACCACTGTGGATTGATGCCATTCTGATTGTCCAGGAAAGGCTAGGATTACCAGACATTGGGGCTAGAGGCTTCCGGTTACCCTGATGGGTGCAGCCACCGAGGGGCACCCTGGGAATGGAAGCAACAGAGCGAGGGGCAAGCCCACCTTTGCCATACTGTTGCTCACAGCAGCAGATGGGTGTCATGGGTGTTGGCAAGGCAATCACTATGCTCTTTATATTGTCTCAAATACTGGCAGTTTTAGGGACAC